TTTTTTTTTTTTTTTTTTTTTTTCAGCAGTTTCACTGTAAATCAATGAAGCACTAAGGGGCATAAAAGCTGTAGAGAAGTCTACACTGATTGCTTACAGACTCTGGGTTTTGAAAAGAGGTAAGAAATTTACAGAAGACATACCTGACTTTCAGGAATTCAGTTTTTGCATGAAAAAAACCCAAACAAACAGAAGACATTTTACTTTTTCCATTAATGGATGACTGTTTTATTGTTTTCTAGTACTGAAATACCTGTGTAACTATTGAGATTTCTTTGTCTAGTAGTTCCAATTGCAATTGACTGCAAACTGCATTTGATGTCCCCACCCCCTGAACCTGCCAAGGTTAGATGTTTGCATCTGTGTTGAAGACTGATTCACAGCTGGGACAGTACTTCTCTCATCTCCTGGTTACAGCCCACATGTTTCAATGGATTTAAATAATCACCTTTGGTTTGCTCAGGTTTTATTCTAGGACGTTCAGAGTCAAAACTTCCAAATCATTAATTCAACAAGGATGAACACCTTGTTAAAACTAAAGCAAGAGTGAAATTAGCTCCTTCAGATAAACCCCAGGCTGCTTCTAGTTAAGAAAAAGGACTACGGACATAGACAGTATAGGCAGCTCAGAATGTAATGCTGTTACTAGGGTGTTGCACAAAGGAATCTCAGTGGAAATCAATCTCTGGCAGCACAAGGATAGGATGAACAGCATTTCTGTGACCCTGAAGGATACACGTGGGGAAACTGGCATTTGGACAGGCACAAGTCCCCTTCGATATGTCACTGTGAGATCACTTGGAAAAGTGAACACTGTCTGAGCTTAAGAACTCATACAGGACTAGATAAAAATTAAAGTCTCAGAAATGTAAATGTTGAAATATTTTGCCTCACTGTAATTGGGGATGATTTTTCCCCTCATTAATAAGCCCACTTGAAGATAATAACTAGCTCTTCTTTCAGCTTCGTAGATGAGATGAGCACAGAATGCAGCTACTTTGTTGATGACTGAGTGAAAATGGAGTCCCCTGTCTGCAAGGTACTAATCATACCAATTATATGCACTAGCTATATTAATAGATTTATTTTTTTTTTAAACCACACAAATAAACAGAAAATTCTGTTTTAGTTTTCTTCATCTGCAGCTCCTAATACTTAATTTCCTACCTATCCAGGCTCATTAAATAAATTAGGAAATCTTACTGCAGCTGATAGAAAAACTGGATCCATTGAAATGAGGTAATTTCTCATGCAACACCAGTTACATCAATAGATAAGACAGCCAGAGGGAGATAAAAGGTTTCATTTAAAAATAAATAAAAAAGAAACAAAACTGTTTAAATGCTGCCCTGAGCCCTTCATAATAAATGAGGAACTC